TCTAGATCAGCGGTTAACACTTTGATTAAACACGTCACCTAAAGAGCTTTTCCAGAACTGACTCCAACGTGTCCAGAACTGCGTTAACGACCCGCGCCACGTGATACCACGTGGTCACCCACGTGGTACCGCGCGGCTCGGCCCAGCCATAAAACTATAACAAAACCTACACGCCCGACTATCACGTGCCCTACTTTACACAAATCTCTAAGCCTAACTACTCTAAATCTACACTAATCCTAACGGTTTTTCTTCACTTAACTGCAATATCCTAACTAAAACATGACTACTAAACTCTGCTTAAAGATCGCTGCAACCAGCCTACACATTACACTAAAATGCACTACGAGGGTAAAAATTTTCGGTCTTGATTTCACCTGGATTTTTTATTTTTTTAAAATTTTTTTATTTCTTTCTAATTTTTAAAAATTTTTGTTGTTTGTTTTTAAAGTTGACTCATATGGGACACCATACTCGTTACCATGGTAACTACGCAACTTCCTATTATTATCGTCTGATTTGCACGTGGGCGGTCGTACATACAGACACTAGACAGACAAAAATAATTTTTTGAATTATGGTAAAGATAATTTTCTGAATTAAAGTAGAAATAAATTTGTTGTTAAAAATTAAATATGCACAAAATATTTTCACTGAATATACACATTATGTGCACCAAATATACAAGCATTAATTTGAATGGCCACTATTACTATAGTCAATTAACTTGTATCCCTGCAATCTTTGTCATACGTTGTATGACCCGCCGCGCACGAGTGCGCGGCTCCCCTGTATCGTCAGGACGATAAAGGGATTTCTCGTGCGGCTTGACCATTGTTAATGGTCTGGCCCGGCGCACGCTACTTTGTAGCACTTGCCATCAGGCCAGACATTTCGAGAAGAAAGCGGCGCGCGCTACTTCGAAGAAATTTAGACGAGTAATATCCGTCAAGGTGGAGGTTACCAGTGCGACAAGAAAACTGCCTGTTCATGGTCTTGTCACGGTGGAAAATGCTGGGAGTAAAGATACAGTTAAACTGCGAAGGCACAACACCAAACCAACCTTACTCTATCTCCCAAAAACAACCTTCTCCTGGTCAGCCATGTCCCTCATCCTGCACTTGACCCCCGCAGAGGTCACAAGCCCATCGGAGCACAAATGAGCGAGAAACGGGGAAGCCTTAGCTACCGGGCTAAGGACTGCATCACTAGCAGCGAAATACGGATATACCCTCCCTTTTACATGCGTTCAACCGGCACCCGAACCACACGCTGTTTCTTAGACATAACTTCCCACTTACATCAGTGTCTTCTCGCATCAACTGGCATCGGCAAGTGGCGACACTGTGTAGACTCAACCCTGAGCTTGATCAGAATCTTCAGTCACAAACCTGACACCGTTTCGGGGCTTTCGTTGCGATACGGTTTTCTGTCAGGTGCCCCAGCAGTCTCTCTTGGACCACCATCTGATCTGACAATCACCCGAGGATACCTGCTAGAGCTCGCGATTTACGACGAGTTAGCTTATGGCACCTCTGGCTGTTAGGTGAAGTCATAAAGCTCAAACAGCTCTCATCTCCCACTCTCTTTTCCTAGACAGCAGATAAATCCATCTTGAACAATGGGCTGCATCCTTCCCACAATCTCTGACCAACTTCTTGAGGGCTCTCCCAGTCAGACCAATCTTCCTTGATGCACACTCCAAACTTGCTGCGACCACACCTCTAGCACCAACCTCAACAGCAAAGCTGAAACATGACCACCCATTAGCTTGTATTTCCGCTTGTAGACTGTTATACCGATCAAGCTTCAGCTCATGGGATGCAGCTATTCTCTCTTCCGACGGTACTGTAAGCTCCCACCAGATTACTCTCTTGGAAGCTTTCGAGAAAAGAACCAAATCTGGTCTTAATCTGGTCGTTGCTATATCCGACGGGAATTTCAGCTGCTCATCCAGGTCTGCTAATACTATCCAATCAGTGGCCCCACTCAGAATCCCAAACTCACTGACTTTCGACCTCTTCACCTCCTTAAACCTCCCTCCTGCTGGAACAAACTCAATGGCTTTCCGAGTGACACAAGAGCTCTTCCTCTTGTTGACTCTCCGCTCACAATGGAATTTCACTTGGTCTGCTATTTGTTTAAGCACCTTATCGTGGCGCCATCGGTATCTCCCTTGACTTAGTCAAGGGAGGCCAGACATTTCGAGAAGAAATGTATGACCCTACGTTAATATAACAAATACGATATTCTAGTACCGTACACGGAATTAACAGAAAGGGATACTAAGGTGTTAATATCGAGAATATGAATCAAATGGGAAATATAAACTCGTTACGAACGCTAGTAGAAACACTAAACTCTTAGAACTTGCACTTACTCTGAATTGACTGAAACACGATCTTCGAGTATCGAAAGCTTACTAATTTACCCCACACGGAAATAGGTGAGGCAACTTTAATTTGAACGGTATAATGTGGTACAATTCGTTCCTACGCTAGAGTTGAACAAAGGAAACAGTTGAATCGAGTAATAACGTTCGAATGATGAATATAAAGATATTATCAACAATCACAACTTAAACTGTGGCAAGACGGGCCACGTTGGGCGTTCTAGATCAGCGGTTAACACTTTGATTAAACACGTCACCTAAAGAGCTTTTCCAGAACTGACTCCAACGTGTCCAGAACTGCGTTAACGACCCGCGCCACGTGATACCACGTGGTCACCCACGTGGTACCGCGCGGCTCGGCCCAGCCATAAAACTATAACAAAACCTACACGCCCGACTATCACGTGCCCTACTTTACACAAATCTCTAAGCCTAACTACTCTAAATCTACACTAATCCTAACGGTTTTTCTTCACTTAACTGCAATATCCTAACTAAAACATGACTACTAAACTCTGCTTAAAGATCGCTGCAACCAGCCTACACATTACACTAAAATGCACTACGAGGGTAAAAATTTTCGGTCTTGATTTCACCTGGATTTTTTATTTTTTTAAAATTTTTTTATTTCTTTCTAATTTTTAAAAATTTTTGTTGTTTGTTTTTAAAGTTGACTCATATGGGACACCATACTCGTTACCATGGTAACTACGCAACTTCCTATTATTATCGTCTGATTTGCACGTGGGCGGTCGTACATACAGACACTAGACAGACAAAAATAATTTTTTGAATTATGGTAAAGATAATTTTCTGAATTAAAGTAGAAATAAATTTGTTGTTAAAAATTAAATATGCACAAAATATTTTCACTGAATATACACATTATGTGCACCAAATATACAAGCATTAATTTGAATGGCCACTATTACTATAGTCAATTAACTTGTATCCCTGCAATCTTTGTCATACGTTGTATGACCCGCCGCGCACGAGTGCGCGGCTCCCCTGTATCGTCAGGACGATAAAGGGATTTCTCGTGCGGCTTGACCATTGTTAATGGTCTGGCCCGGCGCACGCTACTTTGTAGCACTTGCCATCAGGCCAGACATTTCGAGAAGAAAGCGGCGCGCGCTACTTCGAAGAAATTTAGACGAGTAATATCCGTCAAGGTGGAGGTTACCAGTGCGACAAGAAAACTGCCTGTTCATGGTCTTGTCACGGTGGAAAATGCTGAAGAGGATGCAACGGTTAATTAATTAACCGTTGCATCCTCTTCAGCATTTTCCATTAAAATATCATCAAATTTGATGATATTTTAATTTTAATCTCTTGTACCCTTTACAAATTATAGTTTTAGTTCACCTGTCATGCATCTCACTACTGTAATTGTATAAGTTCGCTGTTTGCGGTGTTATAAGTTACCGAATCTCATAACTTCATAACATTAACTCATTAAATATAATATCTAACAGTATTCCCCCTCAGGAGCCTCGTGTCCTCACCCGGACGCAGGATTCTGCTCAGACTGCATGACGTGATGTTGGATCAGTGCCAGTGGTTCTGTTGCCGATACCGCCACATACAGTACTGATGACGACTGTATTGGGGTCCTAGGCAAACCCTTGCGTAGGAGTCCAAGGTTGCTTTTAAGCTCAGAAATTAAGTGCTGGTGAAGCGTTCCTTTGCATGTATAAGGATATGCTAGATTTATAGTAGGTTGTAATTAATCGACCAACTTGTAGCTGTTACCGTGTTATCAAACACATGAAGAACACTGAATACTTTATTGAAATTTGGAGGTCTTATTAAAATTTATAGTGAGATTTTTCAGCATGTAAAATGACATGTGAAATGAGTTTATAATTCATAAGTTAAGCGTACTTTTTCACATATTTTATCGAATATCCATTAATCATAATGCACTCTGCATAGTGCATATACTGATGAAACTAAAATATTTCGTTTCAATTTCTAACCCTGAAAATAAACGATAAACTTGATGACGTAATATGTGAAAGATCCTTGTTATAAACTCAATTTTTCAAAACGTAATTTTAGTAGTTTGAGACGTTTCTACTGATGTCAGATACAATTATCATAGCATGTTCATTGTTCGATAATTAGAATTGATTATTGATTATTTATTTAATCAATAAATATTATGTAATCCAAATCTTTTCCCAAGTGACAAAATAAGAGAGTCGTAACTTGTTATTCACAACGAAATTCAATTTCCAGTGAAAAAAATTATAATATCTCAGCTTTGAATTGCAAAATAAAAATACCGTCACAGAGTGGGTCACTGAAGCTCGGTACGTGTCACATGTCAAACACAGAGTGTTCTATACCAGTACCACTCTTCGTTATAGAAATTTGGAAAACAACAAACTTTATTCTCCAGCAAAAGGTATACCGAGGACTAATAGTAATAACATAGCTGCGATAAAACCTACTGGTCTTTAAGGATAACGTTCAACATTTTGAAAAACTTATAAATTGATAAGTCAGAAATATTAATTAAATATCAACACTAATATACTGCCTCAGGCTCAACATTGAACCGAAAATACCAAATACTCATGCAAAAATCAAATTGAAATTGAAATGAGGATTGTGCCGCAGTGTCCCAGGGCAAATTTTCATAAATCAGATTGTTTCAGAAAATAAGTTCAATTATTTTACAATTTAAATTGGCTGCAATTAATTTGAATTAACTCTGACTAGCATACTGACTGCTGGGATAATTTAATCATTTCACAATTATTCATTAAATAACATCGATCTTGATTTTAATATAAAAATCGTAAAAGTTCGCTAAAAAGGCTACGTAACAAATCATCTACGGAAAACTCTTCACTATAAATACAGAAAGTATAATATAAAACCCCAAAAATCAGAATCAGAAAAACTTTTACAATAAAAACATTTCAAGTCAAATTAAAATGGAAAAGTATAACATATAATAATACATTACATTTTTCGAAGAGTCACGTGATTTGTCACATTGTGACGCCATTTCAATTGAATAAGCTCATTCTGTTGAAGAAACGAGAAATCGCATTTTCGTCTCCGTCTTTACGGCCTTTTTTATTTCTCCGCTGAACCTGAGTTGGTGCATAATTTTAATTACAAATGCCGAGTAGAATTTCAACACAATTATGTGAACATGAAAAATATTCTTATCTGGAAATGTGATATGGTAAAGTTTAATTTTTCAAAATGCTAGAATTAAGAGAATCTAAGATATTAAATATTAAAAACCTGAGCGGTTTCCTGTTCGAACATTTCCAAAGTGTCTTCCACCTCATCATCAGGCTTCTCGTCATCAGGCTGAAACACAAGGAAATATTATAAGATCTGCGTGCTGTGATTACTCCCACATCACGTGCCGTATAATGTTATTTCCAATCAGCAAACGTCAGAACAAATGAGCAATCCAACGAGAATAGTAAGCCACGTGTTGGACACATGATTATATGTGATAGAAGATATGATAGCTGCCGTGAGGGGGTGTGACCCAGATTGGAGATACTGTTATTAAATATAACTTAATAGTGATAATTATCACCGTGTGCATCTCCTATCAGATAGAATGTATCTTCAGAGAGTAAACTGTGCCTGTCACCAAGATGTAACTAGGTCGAACGGAGAAATTAGTTTTTTCCGTTCGACCTAGTTACATCTTGGTGACAGTAACGAAATGAAAAAATGCTTTAGTATCTCCTGATAAAACTTGTGACATGAAGGCATAATATGCCTTCATTATGTCTCTTTGCATACGTCAATTCAGTTAAGATTTGTGACTTGTGTAACACATGCAATTGTGATATTCATGATAACATTGAGAATAACAGCATGCGTTAATTGGCTGAAAAACGTCTGATCAGTATATCAGTGAATGAAATACGACACAACTATTATAACAAAAGGTGGTATTAGGCAACATAACCAACCATCCCCAAACACCATGCTCCGTCGGAAACTGTCTTTACTTTTGAAAATTCACGTCTTTCTACCAAAATATGTATCACTTTTTCGTTGGTACAGAAAGTGCAACTAATCTAATATAACGGTTTGTGATGCGGAGTCTTCCACTCTATAACCAACTTTAAAAGTGACTGATTCTGCACGGAAACGGTACCCAGTATGGACTGTTTAATTCATGGCTCGCACATAGAGCTTTACAGCAGACAAACATTTATCTATAAATTAACATTCCGTGCATTTTTCAACAAAATTATCTTTAATTAATTATCCTCAACTTACTTTGTTAGGTTTATGACCATCAGGCTGCGAAATAAGGTGCTTAAAATAAGTTACAGAAAAAGACAGAACAGAATGCTATACAGATTACAATAATCGATTGTAGAGACAAAAAGGAAAGATGAACCTGAAATATTGAGGGAATTTGGCGCATTTATTCGTATTGGTACATGACGGCAGAAATAATATGCACCACCTCCCTACAATATTTCAGGTTTATTATATGAAGATTAGAAAGACTTAACATTTTCTGTTCTAATAACAATGATAATGTTGCCTGCAAGTGCTTCTTGGAACGGAATTTATTAACCACACCACACCACACCATCACACCATCACACCATCACACCATCACACCACACCACACCACACCACACCACACCACACCACACCACACCACACCACACCACAAAACATCACACCACACCACACGCTGGCGTTTAAAAGCCTATATTTAGTAGTATAAGCTCTAAAGGCCAGTCGCCGGAACCGAGGAAGTAAAGAAAAACCAGACACTGATCTCCAGGTTATCCAGTCTTCACTACTTACCTACCTCACTACACTACTTAGCTACTTACCCTACTAACCACGTTAGTCACGCTCTAACCATCCCTGGAAGTGATATTACCTACTTTATCTGACCTCAATCATTTTGCATATTTTGAACTTGCTCTCGTAGTGATCCCTAAAACCCAGAAACTTATGTTGTTATGTTATAGAACACTGACCTCGAGCAGTGACTCAATAGTTATGAAGCTCTCTGTGTTGTAGGAGTACTGTTTCGAGGACATGCCCTTGCTGACCAACATCTCCTCAATCATCTTGTTTTCCTCCTCCTCCCTTCTCTTATTCTCGTCCAGCTGTAATGTCAATTATTAGGGAAATGCTTTGTAATGTCACTTGTCAAAAACAGGGAAATGTTTTGCAATGTCGCTTGTCAAACACAGGGTAATGTTTTGCAATGTCACTTCTCAAACACAGGGTAATGCTTTGTTATGTCGCTTGTCAAACACAGGGGAATGTTTTGCAATGTCGCTTGTCAAACACAGGGAAATGTTTTGCAATGTCGCTTGTCAAACACAGGGTAATGTTTTGTAATGTCACTTCTCAAACACAGGGTAATGTTTTGCAATGTCACTTGTCAAACACAGGGTAATGTTTTGTAATGTCACTTGTCAAACACAGGGTAATGTTTTGAAATGTCGCTTGTCAAACACAGGGTAATGTTTTGTAATGTCACTTCTCAAACACAGGGTAATGTTTTGCAATGTCACTTCTCAAACACAGGGTAATGCTTTGTTATGTCGCTTGTCAAACACAGGGGAATGTTTTGCGATGTCACTTGTCAAACACAGGGTAATGTTTTGTAATGTCACTTGTCAAACACAGGGAAATGTTTTGAAATGTCGCTTGTCAAACACAGGGTAATGTTTTGTAATGTCACTTCTCAAACACAGGGCAATGTTTTGCAATGTCACTTCTCAAACACAGGGTAATGCTTTGTTATGTCGCTTGTCAAACACAGGGGAATGTTTTGTAATGTCGCTTGTCGAACACAGGGGAATGTTTTGCAATGTCACTTGTCAAGCACTACTTACTTGTACTTGATTAGGTCTCCTCAATCATTCGAGTGGCCTGCACCAATGAACTCCCGTTTGTGACGTATCATCTCCCTCCAAAGTTTGCGGTCACTAGCCATCTCGCTCGCTCCTTCTAGGTCTATGTCAGTGTTTCCTGTAAACAATGCAGCATCTTCCAGCAAACATTTCCTCCAGTTCTTTCTTGGACGGCCCCTAGATCTTCTCCCATGGGCAGGGGTCCAGTTAAGCAGGTACTTAGGAAGCCTAGTGTCTGGCATTCTGGTGACATGGCCAAACCAACGCAGGCGGTTTGCTCCTATGTACGTCTCTACTGGATTTATCTTTGCACGCTCCAGCACTTCAGTGTTTCTAACCCGATCGAGCCATCTTATCCTAAGTATTCTCCTCAAGCAACGCTGATGGAACACCTCAAAGCGATGTAGCTGCTTTTTGGTTGTGTTCCAAACCTCACTACCATATAACAATATTGTCAAAACCGCTGCCTTATAAATCCTGATCTTTGTATAAGACTGGATGTTGCGGTTTTTCCATATATTACTCAGTTGATTGAAGGCTCCGGAAGCTTTCTGAATCCTAGCTGACAGCTCACGGTCGATAGTACCGTCGCTGGAAATAATTGTACCTAACTACGTAAAGTCACTAACTTGCTGCACTGGCGTGTCTTCAACAGTGATGTTCACTGTGGCTTCTTTCGTGTATGGCCGTTGAGAGGTTGCTTTACCAATGACCATAGCCTCAGTCTTTTTACCATTGATTCTAAGACCTCCCTGGGCACCATACATACACAAAAGGTCAGTTGTTTCTTGAAGACCTTCCTCGCTGTTATCCAGTACAGCCATGTCATCTGCATAATCTGTATCTAACACAGTGATATCATCAACAAGCGGACTGATAGATCTTTGAAGAACCGCTCCGTGGGACACCACTTTGTTGCTTTCTGTTCTCTCAGCAGCCACATTGAGGCAGACATTAAAAAGTGGGGGACCCTGAATGTCTCCTTGGCCACTGCCTGAACTTACTTCAAACCATTCTGATAGTTCACCATTGTGTCTAACAGCACTAACAGTTCCATTAAAGAATGCCTGTATTATTCGAATGTATTTACATGGCAGGCCATAATGACTGAAAGCTTTCCAAATATAATTCCTGTCGATGGAATCAAAAGCTGCCTTGAAGTCCACAAAATTTACATACAGGGGGAGATTATATTCAATGCAGTTATGTATAATAGTGCGGAGTGAATAAATCTGATCAATGCATGATCTGTTCTTTCTAAACCCACACTGATTGTCTCGTAGCAAACTTTCTAAACCGTCACTCATGCGTTGTAATATGATGATTTGATACAGTTTAAATGCTGTAGATCTTAGAGTGATCCCCCTATTATTGGAGCAATGAGAGGTATCACCCTTCTTTGGTACAATTATCACGATGCCTTTCAACCAGTCGTCAGGCACTTCTTCTGAATTCCAAACTTTAGAGAACAATTTCTCCATCCTATCCACAAGACCACTTGCCCCATACTTTAACTGCTCATTAGAGATTTCGTCAATCCCAGCACTTTTGTGGTTCTTCAATTTTTTGAGACAGTTTAAAATCTCAAGTCTTGTGGGGGGATCATCACCATCACCAAGATAAGGAAAGCATGGAACCACTTCAAGATGGTCCAGGTCAGACATATCCGCATTCGTGGGAGGAGGGTTTAATAGCTCCGAAAAATGTTCTCCCCATCTCTCTCTCTGAGCAGAGGGATCAGCAATCAACTTCCCGGATTTGTCTCTTACAGCAGTTGATTTTCGATTCTTCTTACCGGACAGTGTTTTTATCCGTTGCCAGACTTCCCTTTGACGGCCATGGACAGCAGCTGTTTCCAGATCTGCTGCAACTCTAAGAGCCCAATTCTCGTCGTCTTTCCTGCAGCTCTTTTTGACAAGTTTGTTGGCCCGAGAATACTCGCTCCTATTGTTGTTGTCACTAGGCGCCATCTGTTTAATCTTACTGCGTTCTGCAATAAGGGTTTTTGTCTCCTGAGACAAATGCTGCTGCTTTCTGCGCCGGGGGCGCTCACCCAGTACCTCCATAGACACTTCTTTAATAGTATCCTTAACTAATGTCCATTCTCCATCAAGATTCTCCTCCATTGGTAGGCAGCTAAAACGATTTTGAAGAGCAATGCAGTACTCTTCAACCTTGGACTGATCTCTAAGATTCTCAATTGCTGGAGATATCCTACGAGAGGCGTTCATTTTTTGAACTGCCATAAGTTTGACTCTAAATTGACTCCGAACCAAATAATGATCGGAGCCAATGTCTGCACCCCTGCATGATCTTACGTCAAGTAGAGAGTGACTCCACTTGGTAGAAATACAGACATGGTCAATCTGATTTACTGTGCGGCCATCTGGAGACTTCCAACTTCCTTTATGAATATCACGATGCTGGAAAAGCGTCCCACCGATTGTCAACTGATGTAATGCACAGAAATCTAATAGTCGAAGGCCGTTGTCATTTGATGAAACGTGAAGAGAATGCTTACCAATCACACCGGACCAAGCTGAGTTATCTTGGCCAATGCGAGCATTTAGATCTCCAAGTAAAAACTTCACGTCATGAGCTGGTAGTTCATCAAATGCCCCAGATAGCTGCTGATAAAAGTCATCCTTTACCCCGACTGCTGCATCCTCAGTTGGAGCATAAGCTATCACAATCGAAATGTTGATATGTCGACTGTGCAACCTCGCTGCAAGAATACGTTCTGATATCGGACTGTATGAAATCAATGAATTTTTAGTCTTCTTCGAGAGGACTAAACCTACCCCTTGTCGTCTGTACCCATCACTTCTTCCTGAGTTAATAAAGAGGGACCCATCATCCAAGGTAACCTCACCAGTGCCGGGTCTGTGCGTCTCTGTCAGCCCCAAGACATCCATTTTATATGCTGACATATTCTGTGACAATTCATACAGCTTTGAGGAACTGCTCTCCAATGATAACACATTCCACGTTCCCACATTAATGCTGTGTTTGATAAAGTTGCACGGGAGTGCTCTCCCCTTCTCCGAGTCCACATGAGTGATATGCTGTGAACTAATAACACTGTTGAAATAAGGCGACTTCTTTGTTCTCATCTGCACACTGGGGTCCTTGCGGCTTTGCCCAGAGCACTTCATCCTGGCTACACCCCTCCTTGAACTCCGAGAGTCACTCCACTTTTGGTTATTCATTGATGTTTCAGTAGCTATTTTAAGGTTGAAGGGTAGCTGGCCCCTCGAACCTGGTAGTTTTTTGTCGACCTTTACTGGTCTAGATCCATAGTTTTTTGTTGCACCTCATCTGTTTAAACTGGAATCACCCAGAACAGATTACTGTACTTAATAGTGGCACCTCGTAAAGGGTGTACTATGGTCATTGAAATAGGAGAGGTTATAAGTTACACGATCACTATTTCCTGAGATTATAAAAATCTCTTGTCAAGCACAGGGAAATGTTTTCTAAGGTCACTTCTCAAACACAGGGTAATGTTTTGCAATGTCACTTCTCAAACACAGGGAAATGTTTTGTAATGTCACTTTTCAAACACAGGGAAATGTTTTGTTATGTCACTTGTCAAACACAGGGAAATGTTTTGTTATGTCACTTGTCAAACACAGGGGAATGTTTTGTAATGTCGCTTGTCGAACACAGGGGAATGTTTTGTTATGTCGCTTGTCAAACACAGGGTAATGTTTTGTTATGTCGCTTGTCAAACACAGGGAAATGTTTTGTTATGTCACTTGTCAAACATAGGGGAATGTTTTGTAATGTCGCTTGTCGAACACAGGGGAATGTTTTGTTATGTCGCTTGTCAAACACAGGGTAATGTTTTGTTATGTCACTTGTCAAACACAGGGAAATGTTTTGTAATGTCGCTTGTCGAACACAGGGGAATGTTTTGTTATGTCGCTTGTCAAACACAGGGAAATGTTTTGTAATGTCACTTCTCAAACACAAGGAAATGTTTTGTTATGTCGCTTGTCAAACACAGGGTAATGTTTTGTTATGTCGCTTGTCAAACACAGGGAAATGTTTTGTAATGTCGCTTGTCAAACACAGGGAAATGTTTTGTAATGTCACTTGTCAAACAAAGGGAAATGTTTTGTAATTTCACTTGTCAAACACAGGGAAATGTTTTGTAATGTCACTTGTCAAACACAGGGAAATGTTTTGTAATGTCACTTGTCGAACACAGGGAAATGTTTTGCAATGTCACTTGTCTAACACAGGGAAATGTTTTGTTATGTCGCTTGTCAAACACAGGGAAATGTTTTGTTATGTCACTTGTCAAACACAGGGAAATGTTTTACAATGTCACTTGTCAAACACAGGGAAATGTTTTGTTATGTCACTTGTCGAACACAGGGAAATGTTTTGTAATGTCGCTTGTCAAACACAGGGAAATGTTTTGCAATGTCACTTGTCAAACACAGGGAAATGTTTTGTTATGTCACTTGTCGAACACAGGGAAATGCTTTGTAATGTCACTTGTAAAACACAGGGAAATGTTTTGCAATGTCACTTGTCAAACACAGGGAATGTTTTGTAATGTCGCTTGTCGAACGCAGGGTAACGTCACTTGTCAAACACAGGGAAATGTTTTGTTATGTCACTTGTCAAACACAGGGAAATGTTTTGTTATGTCACTTGTCAAACACAGGGGAATGTTTTGTAATGTCGCTTGTCAAACGCAGGGTAATGTCGCTTGTCGAACACAGGGGAATGTTTTGTAATGTCGCTTGTCGAACACAGGGGAATGTTTTGTAATGTCACTTCTCGAACACAGGGGAATGTTTTGTAATATCGCTTGTCGAACACAGGGGAATGTTTTGTAATGTCGCTTGTCGAACACAGGGGAATGTTTTGTAATGTCACTTCTCGAACACAGGGAAATGTTTTGTTATGTCGCTTGTCAAACACAGGGAAATGTTTTGTTATGTCGCTTGTCAAACGCAGGGTAATGTCGCTTGTCGAACACAGGGAAATGTTTTGTAATGTCACTTGTCAAACACAGGGAAATGTTTTGTTATGTCACTTGTCAAACACAGGATAATGTCGCTTGTCAAACACATGGTAATGTTTTGCAATGTCACTTGTCAAACACAGGGGATTGTTTTTAATGTCGCTTGTCAAACACAGGGAAATGCTTTGTTATGTCGCTTGTCAAACACAGGGAACGTTTTGTTATGTCGCTTGTCAAACACAGGGAAATGCTTTGTTATGTCACTTGTCAAACACAGGGGATTGTTTTTAATGTCGCTTGTCAAACACAGGGTAATGTCGCTTGTCAAACACAGGGGAATCTTTTGTAATATCGTTTGTCAAACACACGGAAATGTTTTGCAATGTCACCTGTCAAAAACAGGGAATGTTTTGTTATGTCACTTGTCAAAAACAGGGAACGTTTTGTAATGTCACTTGTCAAACACAGGGAAATGCTTGGTTATGTCACTTGTCAAACACAGGGTAATGTCGCTTGTCAAACACAGGGGAATGTTTTGTAATATCGTTTGTCAAACACAAGGAAATTTTTTGTAATGTCACCTGTCAAAAACAGGGAACGTTTTGTAATGTCACTTGTCGAACACAGGGGAATGTTTTGTTATGTCGCTTGTCAAACACAGGACGCTGTTTTGCTATTTTGTTTGTCGAATAGAGGAAGTAATTTGAGTCACGAGCGTGTTGTTTAACGTTACGTTGATTATCAGCAACACAAGGAAACATTGAGTGTTTGTAACCTGAGTAAGCAGGTAATCCCGTTTATTCACAGCATCGAACATAATTAATGGTAACATAATTAACTATTACGTCACTATTACGTCACTATTGGTCGGCTTATAATTCAAGTAAACCTGAGTAAGCAGGTAATCCCGTTTATTCACAACATCGAACATAATTAACTATTACGTCACTATTACGTCACTTATAATCGAAGTAAACCTGAGTAAGCAGGTAATCCCGTTTATTCACAACATCGAACTTCTTTAAAATCAGTTCCTCCTCTTCTAAATAGTCTTCATCTTGTTTCTCAGCCTCTGTAATTAATTAATCAATTAATTAACACTCCACTAATGGATAATACAAATAAAAATGTTGAAAATTATAGTTCAGTGTGTGTATTGGACCATTAATTAAACCCATTTTAATCGGAAGTTTCTGAATTAACGTCTTTAGGCATCACTTAAATAAACATTCCTTCAGTTATATTTAGAAGAAGGTACGGTATAAGCTATTCTAGCCAGGGCTGATATAGGCTCACGCTATTATCATAAGATTATATTATCTAAAAGAAATTGAGACTGCAAAGTTTTTAATTTACCCTTCATTTCCAGGAGATATCTTAAGTCTCGTTCTATCTGATCTTGTTCATCCATAAGTTGCAGATACCTGCGATTGGAATGTTGTTAATAATAATAGTTATCAATAAGTATTTATTTATAAAATAAATAATACGAATTTATCAAGTAATTAATGAAGCACTTTATTCGATCGGTTTGCAATCGATTAAGTCAATTGGAGAATTTATTTGAAAATCTGTCATTACTTTTCGCAAAGGTGGAGCTCGTTTTCACGTCTTGTCATTTCGTTCTTCATGTTAACAAGCTCAAGGAACTGTGACAGTAAGCCCTTATCGTCGTTACCTGAGTCATGGAAACATAATTAATGAGTAATTAATATTTAATTATTGTTAAAAAACTACTCTACAGCTTTTTACAATTATTAGACAAAATATTGACACTTGAAACACATATAATGGAGACGATTGGTGGGCTTATAGTCGAAGTAAACACTAAACAGTCTGGGAGAGAAGAGTGGAACAGGATGATTACCACATTTTAAATTCTAAAGTTTACCTCATGTTTAGGAATTGAGGGGCAGCTTTTCAGCGCTACCTTTACAAGGCACGTGAGGCCCATATAAGGAGATTTTCTTGAAACACGAATGTTGGGAATCATGCTATACGAAAAGTTAAACCGATTTTAATGCTTGGTAAATAGGCTTGTAAAGAATACATGCATACAGTCGGAATTTGTGATTTCTCTTAATCACATATATTTCAAATATCAAAAGAGAAGATTAGCAGTGCTGAGCATCGTAACAGTAATCTCTTATTTGATGACAAACAACATAAAGTAAAACATCCATCAACTACAGAGGGAGGCACGTGTTGCCCATATAAGGAGGTAACAATGAAGGTTATTTGCTATTTACAAACGAAAAACTTAACAGAAGACAAAAAAATAACTTATTTCAATTCAATAACTTACTGAAAACTCTAAAAACACACTTAATAAACATTAAATTCCGCACCAAATACCCATAAGATATTCCTAAGCTGTAAAAAATACCATTAAGACTGACCACTAAAATGTGTACCAACTGAGCTGCCGAAAATATGAAGAATATAAAAACAGTTACAATAACTGAAAAACTTACATTTGAAAAAATACAAAATAATTTAATAAGCTCTTAAAATTAAGCAATGACACTTAATGAAACACATAATCGTACTGCCACGTGATCACATCAAATCACACATGACGTCATAACAAAATCACGTGACGTCATTACACAATTAGTTTACGTCAAAAATAAATATCACGTGACGTAAGCACGACGAGTATTTTCACTTACCACTATCTCTTAGCAACATCTCAATTTCGGCGGCCGTGTTTTCGAATTCATTCATCTTTTGTTCCAACAAACTTCGATCCCGCTAAATGAATTTAAATTTAGAGTTTAGTTTCGTAGTCCTGGACTGATGAAAATACAGAATACACGGAATCTAACTGACGCGTGTCTTTATGAACATTAATTACAGTTTACATCATATAACCACGTGTCGTCATCATATAACCACGTTACGTCACGACTAAAATACCTGAATGGTTTGAGCCTGCGCCAGGCGACGTTGATTCATCTTGTTAGTTGGTTTCATACGGAGTCGCTTCCTACGAATGTTTTTCTCTCGTGTGAACTTGTTAGCTGGTGTAGAGTCCGCTTCCACTGATCCTCTGTGAAATATTCTGTTATCAGACGTGAATCTGGTTTAGTGGTTCAAAACTGACCTAACGACAGAAACAACTCACCTAGCAACAGAAACAACTCACCTAACAACAGAAACACCCCACCTAGCAACAGAAACAACTCACCTAGCAACAGAAACAACTCACCTAACAACAGAAACACCCCACCTAGCAACAGAAACAGCTCACTTAACGACAGAAACAACTCACCTAACACCTAGGAACAGAAACAACTCACTTAACGACAGAAACAACTCACTTAACAACTCACTTAACAGCAGAATCAACTCACCTAGCAACAGAAACAACTCACCTAGCAGCAGCTATTCTGGTTCCATCCCTAGTGACTGACTTCTTCAGATCTGTGGACACTTCTATTCTCTTTCTGGGCCCGGCTGAGAAGGAAGCTGAGGTTTGGAGATCTCTCTGAGTTAATAGCTTGATGCGATCTTTAACTGACACGGGCCCTCCTTCTTCCACTGTAATTAGGAATATTCATTAAACAGTTATTATCCCAGAGGAAAAAATGTTTGAAAATAGCTGAATGTTTGAAAGACCCATACCAATAAATGTTGGATTGTTTTCGTCTCTTTTCTACAAGGTCATGTATCACTATTATAGGGGTTTCAATTTAATGTCGAAATGGACTATTAAATCAGAGAATTGGCTGAATAATTATTTGATTTTTAGAGGCGATGGCTTGGTGATGGCTTTGTGGGCATAATACTTGAGGTGGGGTGGGGTTACTCCTGGTGTTTATTGTTGCTCTAATTATATCTAATAATACTTAAGGTGGGGTGTGGTTGCTAGATCTCCTGGTGTTTATTGTTGCTCTAATGTTTAATAATACTTAAGGTGGGGCGGGGTTACTCCTGGTGTTTATTGTTGCTCCAATATTTAATAATACTTAAGGTGGGGTGTGGTTGCTAGATCTCCTGGTGTTTATTGTTGCTCTAATATTTAATAATACTTAAGGTGGGGTGTGGTTGCTAGATCTCCTGGTGTTTATTGTTGCTCTAATATTTAATAATACTTAAGGTGGGGTGTGGTTGCTAGATCTCCTGGTGTTTATTGTTGCTCTAATATTTAATAATACTTAAGGTGGGGTGTGGTTGCTAGATCTCCTGGTGTTTATTGTTGCTCTAATATTTAATAATACTTAAGGTGGGGTGTGGTTCCTAGATCTCCTGGTGTTTATTGTTGCTCTAATATTTAATAATACTTAAGGTGGGGTGTGGTTGCTAGATCTCCTGGTGTTTATTGTTGCTCTAATATTTAATAATACTTAAGGTGGGGTGGGGTTACTAGATCTCCTGGTGTTTATTGTTGCTCTAATATTTAATAATACTTAAGGTGGGGTGGGGTTACTAGATCTCCTGGTGTTTATTGTTGCTCTAATATTTAATAATACTTAAGGTGGGGTGTGGTTGCTAGATCTCCTGGTGTTTATTGATGCTCTAATATTTAATAATACTTAAGGTGGGGTGTGGTTCCTAGATCTCCTGGTGTTTATTGTTGCTCTAATATTTAATAATACTTAAGGTGGGGCGGGGTTGCTAGATCTCCTGGTGTTTATTGTTGCTCTAATATTTAATAATACTTAAGGTGGGGCGGGGTTGCTAGATCTCCTGGTGTTTATTGTTGCTCTAATATTTAATAATACTTAAGGTGGGGTGTGGTCGCTAGATCTCCTGGTGTTTATTGTTGCTCTAATATTTAATAATACTTAAGGTGGGGTGTGGTTGCTAGATCTCCAGGTGTTTATTGTTGCTCTAATATTTAATAATACTTAAGGTGGGGCGGGGTTGCTAGATCTCCTGGTGTTTATTGTTGCTCTAATATCTAATAATACTTAAGGTGGGGTGTGGTTCCTAGATCTCCTGGTGTTTATTGTTGCTCTAATATTTAATAATACTTAAGGTGGGGTGTGGTTGCTAGATCTCCTGGTGTTTATTGTTGCTCTAATATTTAATAATACTTAAGGTGGGGCGGGGTTGCTAGATCTCCTGGTGTTTATTGTTGCTCTAATATTTAATAATACTTAAGGTGGGGTGTGGTTGTTAGATCTCCTGGTGTTTATTGTTGCTCTAATATTTAATAATACTTAAGGTGGGGTGTGGTTGCTAGATCTCCTGGTGTTTGTTGTTGCTATAATATTTAATAATACTTAAGGTGGGGTGTGGTTCCTAGATCTCCTGGTGTTTATTGTTGCTCCAATATTTAATAATACTTAAGGTGGGGTGTGGTTGCTAGATCTCCTGGTGTTTATTGTTGCTCTAATATTTAATAATACTTAAGGTGGGGTGTGGTTCCTAGATCTCCTGGTGTTTATTGTTGCTCTAATATTTAATAATACTTAAGGTGGGGTGTGGTTTCTAGATCTCCTGGTGTTTATTGTTGCTCCAATATTTAATTAAGGTGGGGTGTGGTTGCTAGATCTCCTGGTGTTTATTGTTGCTCCAATATTTAATAATACTTAAGGTGGAGTGTGGTCGCTAGATCTCCTGGTGTTTATTGTTGCTCTAATATTTAATAATACTTAAGGTGGGGTGTGGTTGCTAGATCTCCTGGTGTTTATTGTTGCTCTAATATTTAATAATACTTAAGGTGGGGCGGGGTTGCTAGATCTCCTGGTGTTTATTGTTGCTCTAATATCTAATAATACTTAAGGTGGGGCGGGGTTGCTAGATCTCCTGGTGTTTATTGTTGCTCTAATATTTAATAATACTTAAGGTGGGGCGGGGTTGCTAGATCTCCTGGTGTTTATTGTTGCTCTAATATTTAATAATACTTAAGGTGGGGCGGGGTTACTCCTGGTGTTTATTGTTGCTCTAATATTTAATAATACTTAAGGTGGGGTGGGGTTACTCCTGGTGTTTATTGTTGCTCTAATATTTAATAATACTTAAGGTGGGGTGGGGTTACTAGATCTCCTGGTGTTTATTGTTGCTCTAATATTTAATAATACTTAAGGTGGGGCGGGGTTACTAGATCTCCTGGTGTTTATTGTTGCTCTAATATTTAATAATACTTAAGGTGGGGCGGGGTTACTCCTGGTGTTTATTGTTGCTCTAATATTTAATAATACTTAAGGTGGGGTGGGGTTACTCCTGGTGTTTATTGTTGCTCTAATATTTAATAATACTTAAGGTGGGGTGGGGTTACTAGATCTCCTGGTGTTTATTGTTGCTCTAATATTTAATAATACTTAAGGTGGGGCGGGGTTACTAGATCTCCTGGTGTTTATTGTTGCTCTAATATTTAATAATACTTAAGGTGGGGCGGGGTTACTCCTGGTGTTTATTGTTGCTCTAATATTTAATAATACTTAAGGTGGGGCGGGGTTGCTAGATCTCCTGGTGTTTATTGTTGCTCTAATATTTAATAATACTTAAGGTGGGGCGGGGTTGTTAGATCTCCTGGTGTTTATTGTTGCTCCAATATTTAATAATACTTAAGGTGGGGCGGGGTTGCTAGATCTCCTGGTGTTTATTGTTGCTCTAATATTTAATAATACTTAAGGTGGGGCGGGGTTACTCCTGGTGTTTATTGTTGCTCCAATATTTAATAATACTTAAGGTGGGGTGTGGTTGCTAGATCTCCTGGTGTTTATTCCACCGTTGCTCCAATAATAATACGTAGTGGTGAAACTATTGGAACGTGAGATTTATTGATCTTGAGGTCTGGTTTATAACCTTATACAGTGGTATTGAAATGGGATCTCAGAGTTTAAAGAGCATTACTTTTGCAACCCACCGCACTAATCTATGCAACCCACCTATATAATTAGTTAACCCCAGTAGAAAATATCTGAACTTGATAACTTGATAACTTGAAATATTCTTCAGTGGCTTGTTAACCTTGATTTATAAGATAATAAGAATTTTCTGCCGGGGAATCAGCGTCACTATTCATGTTACCGCCCAAAAAATTCAAGAAATATGCGTCAATCACCCGGTTACACGATTAAAGTATTTAAGTAATCAAGGAATCAATTATTCGATATAGTGCAAATGGAAATATACAGCATTCGATATATTCGTGTGAGGTATTGGATATTTAACTGTAAGGAATTAAATATTTTGGCGAGAATCATTGGCGTTGCTTGAATTTCTGCTCATAATATTGAAGCTTTTTGAGATTTGCCAAGTCGGCGAATCGGAATATTCAAATATTTCGCTTTACTTGTACAGAGCAAGCCTATCCATTGTTGCATTTTTAATCCTCATAAGACATTGGATGTCCAGTAAAAAATGTAAAAAACATTTATTTTTCAGTAATTGTGTATGTCGATTTCAGTTGTACAGTTTTTAGATAAACAAATAACATTATGATAATCTGAAATCTCAATCGACATAATGTTAATCAACATGTTATTATATTTAGTAACTGTCTGGTAATTAATAAATAATATAAAGTTAATTAGTAAATAGTAATTAGTAAGTACCTTGGTTATAATTTTAATTAGTAAATAGTAATTAGTAATTACCTTGATTGCTGATATCGTCCTGCATTTGTTTAGTGTAATCTGGAATGTAAGTGTCCACATTGGTCATACTTCCTGCTCTCGTATGTCTTGTGACCGCTGAAAATCATTAATTAAGCTAATTAAGTTAATCACTGGAAAACTGCTGGACAATTACTGGATTTGTAATGTTTAATATTATGAAGGAGTAGGATAATCTAGATAACTTCGTGGCTTCAATGATCGAAGTTTTGGTCAGGGATCGTTCACATAGTGCGTAAGGTAGCCTGGGGGTCGGGGTTTGGAAAAGCGTAAATTCTACACAGTCGCTACCTTTTATATCGCTTGCGAAGGGTGGAGGGGGGGGGGGCCGGGGGGGGGGGGGGGGGGGTAAAATGTGAACGATCCCATATAGAATTTTAAATTAACCGTAAACGATCAATCAGATATAAATTTTATTACTCCAATTATCTGAGGTGAATCAGTGAGTTGTAACTGTAGATCTGGGTACACTGGGTACAGGGAGGTGAATCAGCGCGTCCAGCATCAAGAATCAAAGCTCAGAGTCACAGTCACGTGACAAAGCTCAGAGTCACAGTCACGTGACAAAGCTCAGAGTCACAGTCACATGACAAAGCTCAGAGTCACAGTCACGTGGTGAGCAGGTTGTAGATAATCATGGGACTGTCACGTGACATGCAGTTTATTAATTAATCTGCACTTAACCCGGGACGACAAGGCCGCAAGTAAACGTTACACAGTTTAATAGTACACAATATATATCAAATTATGTGGCGCGTTGTGAAGCTTACCGTGGCAAATATTATTATGCTTGCTGTATTATATAATATTATATTTTGTTAATCAAACCATCGTAGTGTCTCGACTTCTCAAGGCCAAAACATTAGGTGTATTATTGAACATAACATTAGGTATTATTAAACATTAGGTACTATTATTATTATTAGGTGTATTATTGAATCAAATGCTGTACACAAATAGCTTTGTGACTTGTTATATGGTTTACAATAAACTCAGTGTTGAAAAGGTTAATAGGTTACGTTGTTTGTAAGTTACATTTCCAAGCAGCTGCTGGATATATGGTATTTTAACGGGAAGGAATAAAAAGGTCACGTGTCCAACAACTATGCGCATCACGTGACATGACGCACCACGTGACATGACGCACCACGTGACATGAAGCACCACGTGACATGACGCACCGTGTCACGTGTGCAGCTAATGAACAAAACTCAATACTTCAAATTTGAATCAGTCACTATAAACTAATTACTTATATTTGATGGTATAGAATCAGTATTGTCACTATTATTTAACTAGGGCTTATTTTGCTTTGGAATCAGTAATATGATCACTTTATAGTTCATTTTGTTGCTATTAAATCAGTTTAGTAACCGTAAATTGAGTTATATTGCTATGGAATTAATGATTTCAATCTCCTCTTCTTTACTTCTGGGTCATTAAAGATACCATAAACTTGGTTTTATGTTATTGTTAATTGAAACACTTTTGTATCTTTAAATTAAGTAAGTTAGCTATAGATGTATAGCATGTATAGCATAGAATCAGCAGTGTTTGTAACTCAGTTGCTATATTACATACCATTCTTCTCAAAGAGGGACGCCATGTTCAGGACGGATCCTATATAATGATAATACAGTAGGACAGGTAATATTCCAAATTAACTTTAACAAGTGTTGTGATGACGTCATGTGGTGTTGTGATGACGTCATGTGGTGTTGTGATGACGTCATGTGTTGTTGACACTTGGTGTCATGTTCAGGACGGATCCTATATAATGATAATACAGTAGAACAGGTAATATTCAAAATTAACTTTGACAATTAGTGTTGTGATGACGTCATGTGGTGTTGTGATGACGTCATGTGGTGTTGTGATGACGTCATGTGGTGTTGTGATGACGTCATGTGGTGTTGTGATGACGTCATGTGTTGTTGACACGTGGTGTCATGTTCAGGACGGATCCTATATAATGATAATACAGTAGAACAGGTAATATTCAAAATTCGCTTCGGTTACCTAGGTTACGGTCACTTTGGTTACATGGGTTACGGTCGATTTGGTTACCTAGGTTACGGTCGCTTTGGTGGCCATTGTTGTTATCTAACTTCATGAGTAATACCTTAGCCCTAAAAACGACCAAACGTGTTACCCAATCAGTAACAACAGAATAAACTGCACCTTAACAATCAGAAGCGCTGGTTCACACCAACTGTCCAATCAGAAGCGCTGGTTCACACCAACTGTCCAATCAGAAGCTCTGGTTCACACCAACTGTCCAATCAGAAGCGCTGGTTCACACCAACTGTCCAATCAGAAGCGCTGGTTCACACCAACTGTCCAATCAGAAGCGCTGGTTCACACCAACTGTCCAATCAGAAGCGCTGGTTCACACCAACTGTCCAATCAGAAGCTCTGGTTCACACCAACTGTCCAATCAGAAGCGCTGGTTCACACCAACTGTCCAATCAGAAGCGCTGGTTCACACCAACTGTCCAATCAGAAGCGCTGGTTCACACCAACTGTCCAATCAGAAGCGCTGGTTCACACCAACTGTCCAATCAGAAGCGCTGGTTCACACCAACTGTCCAATCAGAAGCGCTGGTTCACACCAACTGTCCAATCAGAAGCGCTGGTTCACACCAACTGTCCAATCAGAAGCGCTGGTTCACACCAACTGTCCAATCAGAAGCGCTGGTTCACACCAACTGTCCAATCAGAAGCGCTGGTTCACACTAACTGTCCAATCAGAAGCGCTGGTTCACACTAACTGTCCAATCAGAAGCGCTGGTTCACACCAACTGTCCAATCAGAAGCGCTGGTTCACACCAACTGTCCAATCAGAAGCGCTGGTTCACACCAACTGTCCAATCAGAAGCGCTGGTTCACACCAACTGTCCAATCAGAAGTGCTGGTTCACACTAACTGTCCAATCAGAAGCGCTGGTTCACACTAACTGTCCAATCAGAAGCGCTGGTTCACACCAACTGTCCAATCAGAAGCGCTGGTTCACACACCAACTGTCCAATCAGAAGCGCTGGTTCACACCAACTGTCCAATCAGAAGCGTTTAAACTTTGCTGCCATTTTAAGTATTAACCTCTACTTTACAGTGTACACACAGTTGACAATAACAATAAGTCACCAGGGGGCAATGTTACATCTTTACTGCCAGGTTAAGGCACCTCGTTCGTAACTACTATAGGTTAAATTTGTTGTAGCTTTTCTTACTGATATATCTTTCGTTTTGTTTATTATGGTGTTTAGCAAACTCAATGGTTTTCAAGTATACTAGTGTTTCGCAGCGATTGTTCAAGGTCTTATAGTGGGACAAAATAATTATTTTTCATCCCATTTACAGCTTTACAGTCAAATAACATACAATTGTAAGACTGAATAATGGTCAACAAGATAGACTTTCCAATAAGGGTTATTAATAATCACACTGCCAAACCTTTGAACAGCCATGCAACGCTACTTATGTTATAACATGGTAGTAAACAGTAAGACAACTCAGTAAATGTCCTAAGTGTTGCTTAAGTTAAGTGGACCTTTACCTACATCTAGCGTGAAATGACGCTGGATGACGCGAACTGTCACCAGGCGACATCTAGGGCTATTTGCACAGAATTTATGGCCTTTTAGTGGGCGACATCTAGCGCTGTCTAGCGCTAGATGTCGCCGCGTCAGATGTTGTCGCAACATATAGCGACATTAAATAAAACCGAGCACCTTAGAGCTACATCATTATACATCGTGACAAGAAGATCTGTCTAACACTTAAAGGGCTATAGCGGTTGAAGTGCAAACAGGAAGCTAGATTTATTTGTGGGGGCTGCTTCTTAATCGAACATGACACTGTTAGTATTAGTAAAATGCTTCCCTGACTTGTACATTAGAGAAAGTAAGTGGATGATGATTAATCACTCTACACTCGACTGTCACGTGACTTTTTCAACCCGTTCTCTAGCTGGCCCTGAACGACTATTCGAAACCCTAACCCTCTAATCTGATCCCAAGTCCCAACACTAACCCTAAACCAATCCCTACAAAAGCATGTTCTGAAACCCTAACCCTAACGATAAATTAGACCAACTTCCTGACGCGGCGGCATCTAGCGCTAGATAGCGCTAGTGTCGCGTAACTAGCGTCATTTCACACTAGATGACGCTAGATGTCGAATTTTGACAATCATTAATTGTCTGCTTAAGTTTTATACTTATTTTAGGTTACTTTGCAACTACTATATGGTATAATCCGTCATTATACCTTCTTAAGTGGCTGAAATGGGTTGAAAGTACTATTGCAGGGAACTATAACATTATAAAGTACTTACGTTTTGGTTTTGCAGGAGCTTTCGCAGCAGGTTTACTTGGTGCAGCATCTTTTATTACTCTTCCTTTTATCCCTAAAAAATATTTATTAGTTGGTTTGAACGATTCAATATTTGTTAGATGTGTTAGATGTTAAAAGATTATCTGATACTTTTCAGCTCACTTAAACTTCACTTAAACCTCACTTAAACCTCACCTAAACCTTACTTAAACCTCACTTAAACCTTACCTAAACCTCACTTAAACCTCACTTAAACCTCACTTAAACCACACTTAAACCTCACTTAAACCTCACCTAAACCTCACCTAAACCTCACTTAAACCTCACCTAAACCTCACCTAAACCTCACTTAAACCTCACTTAAACCTTACCTAAACCTCACTTAAACCTCACTTAAACCACACTTAAACCTCACTTAAACCTCACTTAAACCTCACTTAAACCTCACTTAAACCTTACCTAAACCTCACTTAAACCACACTTAAACCTCACTTAAACCTCACCTAAACCTCACCTAAACCTCACTTAAACCTCACCTAAACCTCACCTAAACCTCACTTAAACCTCACTTAAACCTTACCTAAACCTCACTTAAACCTCACTTAAACCACACTTAAACCTCACTTAAACCTCACTTAAGCCTCACTTCTGGTTACTGCGCCACACTATAGGTAGATTAGGTCGTACAAAAAAGCGATGGTTCGGATAACCCTTCATATGATAATCATAAAGTGCTTTGCAAAGTTATTATCAGGTATAACGTTGCGATCAAGTCTTATAAGGTTAAACGTGGGGGCTGGTACTATTTGATTACCTGACATCCATTCTACTGTGATGAAATCGAATATTAAATAGGTAAGGTCAATAGTTGTTGGAAAATTTATTGATTAGGGCCTGGTTTTCTAAGACTGATAAATTAATTTCCAGAAATACTAGTAGGCACTAGTAGTCACTAGTAATCACTAGTAGTCACTAGTAGTCACTAGTAGACACTTGTAGTCACTTGGGATCAAGTTAAGTGGGCCCTTTCAAAATATATAAAACCATCCTCCCTACTCCGCTTAATGGCACTCTAATGGCACTCTAATGGCGACTAATATTGGAAACACACAGCACTAGTGACACGTCATAACACGTGGTGTGACGTCATTTAGCGTAACACACAGCACTAGTGACACTTTGCTTCCTGATGTCAGTATAATTATAATACCCAATTTATTTGCAGCATTTCGGAGCAGGTCATGCTTTGGAGCGGGGCCTAATAATGAGGCTTCTTGCCCCCCCTCTCCCCCCTGGCTACGTGCCTGCTAATAATACAGGTCTATCTAGTCCAAATAGAAACTTGTTCAGTATGAATCTGTCCTGATAAAAGTTGTTTGATAAATATGTGTCTGACTATCATGTTTATTGTCCTTAAATAGTTCAACTAAAAGCAGTCCCTGTATATTAGTCCTGTTTTGTCTGCAGACTTGAGTAGTTGAGACGGTGATAAACTATTTGGGGGGATAAACCTATCAGAATGCAGCAACGAACAATTCAACTGTTCTCGCATATTTAAATAACTCTCTATTTTCAAGCCAATCGTTAACGTTATGGCGCTAGTTACGCTATATTAACGTTATTCGCGTGATTGTTCCTTTACAAGCCTGTCCTAGTAGACATTTCTTATTGTGACTCAGTTTGGAGTAAATAAAATAAATATAAGTTTTACCGTGAAGCAAATTCGCCAGATTGCTTGCGCATTGTTATACAATGAAAAAACAGATTTGCGTAGTTCACTTTTCGGGATTCAATTATTCATGCGTTTGTAGGCTTCACGTAAAGCTATGGTTATTACAAACGTAACATCGATACAAAATTCCAGAAAATGTGGTTACGTACGTTCAACAGTTCCAAAAAAAAGTAATACCTCTTTTAAATTATTAGAGATATTTCCAGCCCATTTACAGTTTTCTTCCACTCTTTATTTCTGGCTCATAAAGTGTGATGTTGATTTGAATTTAAAACCATATGGCGACCTCCAAAACCAAGCTCTTCAACAGTGACGTCATGTGCACGTGCAGTGACGTCATGTGCACGTGTTCTTCAACAGAGGATGTAATTACTCTAATTTGATAACTACCTGATGTGTTCGGTTGCAGCTGCTGCGCAGTACCCTCAAACAGTAAACACACACACAATACGCCTAGAGAAACAAGATCAGAGCAATTTCACTCAACTTCGTACAAACACCTCTCCACACAGTCACAACCTTATTAATCTCATCCTAAGAAGCATACTTTATTTAACATATTAAACATGTTAAGGCGCTTTTACTTTCAATATTTTGAACAGCACTGGTATTGAAATAATGTTCCACATTTACTTCATATTATTTGCTGTGATATTTTTATATAACATGGCTTATACACCTGTGTACTGGAAGTGCTCTGTTGCCATGGCAACAGCCAGGTGGTCTTTAGATACCAACCGTAGACAAATTTCCACGCAATTCTTTAAGAAGCGATCCCCGTGCTACTTTTGTACTCCTTCATAATATCCTTTTGTATCACATAATTAATCACGCAAGTGCTTTTACTATAACTACTGGTGGACCCGTTGTGACGAGTAGTGACCATAGAAAAACAGAAATATCAGAACGGTTAAATTAGAGAATGTTGCTTCGTAACATTTCCAACATTTCCAACATTTCCAACATTTCCCTCACTGATTTAATCACTTTTCAGACTCATAACCTTCCTGTACAGCCCATTTTCCCGTGTAAATTATTTAATTTGCTGCTCCGAATCCGGATTTAGTTTTAAAAAGAAGCAGCTGTTAATCCGAGAGTTGGTCAATAGTCATGCTTTAGTGGACGATTATTGGCTTTGTACATATTGCAATTTGTGGTTCAATATTTGAGGCTATTATTCCTTTTTTTGAGCGTATTAAAAGATAATTAAAGTTACGCTCGGCACGTAACTGTACTTTATATACTATATCTTATATATATTGTTATAAGCAATATATTGATATTATAAAGGAGTACACTCGCGCTTACTGCCTCTTCCTCTGATTTCTTTCTCACGTTCTTTCTCTGATACTGAACACATGACTGATTGTCATGAAAATCATTTATTCAACGACTTCCTCATATTTGCATATATATAATACTATTTTCACCGTTCATAATGAGTGTCTGAGATCAGCATTCAGTACTGGTGGACCCGTTGTGACGAGTAGTGACCATAGAAAAACAGAAATATCAGAACGGTTAAATTAGAGAATGTTGCTTCGTAACATTTCCAACCTTTCCAACATTTCCAACATTTCCAACATTTCCCTCACTGATTTAATCACTTTTCAGACTATGTGGTATGCTGGAACAGTATCAGTGATCGAGTAAGCTTTTTGGACCTAGAACTCCCTACAAAATCTGGAAAATTTATCAAATGTAGGGTGGTCAATGTATATGGGCCACACAAGAAACTTGCAGAAAATGATCAACAACTGTTGATTAATTTTTACGGCCAAGTTAGGGACGCTCTAAACGTCCCTGCTAATGTTGAGATATTTGTTTTGGGAGATTTTAATTCAAAGTTGGGAAAAATGACTGCTTCAGATAAGGACTTTGGTTTTGGTCGTTTCATGGGTAAACATGGTATGGGTTTGCGCAACGATATGGGAGAAAACTTGTTAGACTTGTTATCAGAATTTGACCTCTTTGCCTCCAACACTGGTTTTTATCATCCTGCCCGACATACGACCACCTACACTGGCTGGAGGAAGGACTGGAGTGCCGGGCGAAATAGTAAAAAGACGATCCCGGTCTATTCTCAGATCGATTTCATCCTGTGTCGAAGTAGGTCGAAGCCAATGCTACAAGATTCTAGATCTTATGCAGGCACCTTGACATACTCTGATCACAGATTTGTTGTCACTAGAGTAGATTTTAAGGACATCTGTCTTTGCTATAAACGCCACTCCAAGTCATCCTTAAAGTTCAACACCTCTGAACTCACCTCGAACCCCACCATTCAGGTGAAATATCGTCAATCCTTATATGATAACTTAAGTAACACTGTTTCTGCTCTGGATCCAAATTCAGACTTGAATGGCTTACTTGAGTCCATAAAGGATGATGCAAAATCGTCAATTGGTGTCATCAGACACAGGAAACGTAATCGCAGCGACGATGATGAGGTGAAAAACTTATCTAGCCAGCGTTACTTGTTGAGACAGCAGCTTAATGATAACCAGTCTTTAGACAGAACCTCACTTAGATCATCTATTAACTGCCTCACCAATCAGATCAAGCAGAGACTTTCTAACATACGATCAGCTGCTGCTGATGCTATCTGTAATACCATCAGTTCAACAACAGATAGTAAGAAAATGTTTGAAGCTGTTCGAACCCTGAACTTACCTAAAAGTAAAGCCCCTTCTAGTATTGGTGTTCATGATGAGCAAGGGTGCAATATTGCAACAGACACTGGTAAAGCTGCCGTAGTTGCTAAGTACCTTGAGCAACAACTTACTCGTGATGAAGCACCTTTAGAACCTTTTGTAGGACCTCCTCGCCCACTAGTTAAGCCATTCACTAGTGAAGAAATCGGATCAGCTGCTAGAAGTCTCAAAAATGGTCGAGCTAACGGCCCAGATGGGATTCCTAATGAGCTTCTCAAGTATTCTACTGGATCAGTACACAGACGTTTTGCAGACATTATCAATAGAAGCTTCGAGACCAATTCCTACCTTGACCCCATTGGACAGGCAAACATTACCCCCTTACAGAAGCCAAATAAGCCCATTGGTCCAGTGAAGAACCTACGGCCCCTCACTCTCTCAAATGCTGTTAGAAAGATTCTTTCAATGGCAACCTTGAAGAGAATTGAGAATAAAGTCAATGCTTTCACTGGTCCATGGCAATGTGCTTACAAGCAGGGTAGATCATGTGCTGACATTGTATGGTGCCAGCGTGTGATGTTATCAGTTGTCCAGAGGAAGAGGTGGGAATACCATCGCATGGGGATCGACATGTCTAGTGCCTTTGACACTATACGACGATCTACCATCCTCGATCTTCTTGTTGAG